GCACTTGTTCCTAGAAGCGATGCACTTGTTACTACTAGCTTCTTGTTACTACTAGGTAGGGAGGGAGATAATTTTTGGAGGCTAAACTTTCTAAGGGCCTGTTCGATACAATATGAAAGAAATGAACCTTCTCTTTAGGGGGTTGGTGTACCCGTTAGATCGCGTGGTTGCCTCAAAGAGCATAGAAGCCCGGGTTGCTTATATAGGGTGATTGGATCATGTTCCCCGCTTTGTTGAATCCCTTTGGTGGAAATTGATGGAATAACTTTTTGTTTTTCCAGGTTTCTCAAGCAAATCCGCAAGGAATCACAGATGGGTCGGCTGGGACTTGGGTGGGTCAATCCTGTGCTTTCCAATCCAGTCGAAGTCCATACTCTGGAATGCCAGGATGGTCGTCAGCTGCAGAAAGCGCTAGACATCTTCTCTGAGGTGTGAGAGGGGTGTTGGCATGGTTGGGACAAGCAACGTTAATGCGTAGTAGGCTGGTTCTAGGTGATCATGGTGAGTGAAACATTTTCATGACCTGAGTTCCAGGTAGGTTCTCTCCTAGACACACCTGGCTGCTCAATCCAACTGTAGAATAGAGACGTGCAGATTGCCTTGATGTGCACTCTTCCTGCTGACGAAGCGCCTTTACTTGAGTTTCAGAAATTGAATGCATACTCCATCCAGCCAGCTGAGCGAAGACGGTCTTGGCACACTGAACTGAACTGTTTGAGAGTCCCCTCGCACCAATTCGAAGCCCGCGAAGTCTCGGCAGATGCTGGCTGAGCACACCATTGTCATGGTCAACCAAGGCATTGTTCAGGACTGAGGCAGTAGCTTCCTTGCTTCTAGTAGCGATGCCCTTGTTCCTAGTCGCTTCTTGTTACTAGTAGTAATGCCAGGAGCTACTAGTAGCGTCCTTGGGGCAGTAGATCTGTGCACTGCCGTGCTATTCTGTACCTTGTCTGTACTCGAAGGGTCCAAATGTGTAGTGAAGAAGACAGGTCACCATCTTGAACCCCAAAACAGACCATCAACTTGTGCTAAGCGAAATGAACCGCATGGTCGGAGTGACCCCGTTTTCAACTGGAAACCGGCAGGAAGCTGATCGGCGGATTCTGCTGGATGACCGCGTGGAAGCGGTGCTAAAGCAGGCGCAGCATGACTGGGAAGGGATCGAAGACGACCAAACCCTTCACCTTCCAACGCAGCCCCAAGGCTGGGCATTTTCTGTACAAGGATTTAAGTTTAATTATGTAGATAGACACTGCAAGAACTGCAAATAGGGTCCGTCGAATCAAAGCGTGCCCAGTCCCAGAATACCGCAAGACATGAGCAGTTGCGGATTGAAGGATCCATTTCCGGCCACATGGCATCGCTACTAGGGTGGAGGCCATCGCTACTAGGGTGGAGGCCATTGGAGGCCATTGCTACTAGGGTGGAGGCCATTGCTACTAGGGTGGATGCCATTGGAGGCCATTGCTACTAGGGTGGAGGCCGTTGCTACTAGGGTGGAG